GCGGCAAGGCCAGTAGGTTTGGAGCTCGACCCCTCGCTAGGTTGCTTCCTTTTCAAGGGAACGCTCCTTTTAGGAACGGAGATATTGGGCATCTCTGTCAAAAACCACGAACATGTCAGAACCACAACAGATAAGTTATACAAAGAATAACCGCAGGATAGTAGAAGTACCCGGATCATTTGCAATCTGAATAAGATCGAGAGTTTTTTGAGAGGGAAGTGGAAGCGATTTATGGGTAAGAAGGCCGCAAAAGTGTAAGAGGTTCTCATCCTCAAGCAAAGTCTTCGACGCAACGGGCTTGGTGTTCCACACAGCAATCCGTTGGTCGAAGAGGGCATTTGGAGAAGGGGCCACGTTATCCCTCTTGAGTTCCTTGAGCCAGGGAGTTGGCTCCCAGGGAAAGGCAGGGCTAGGTTCGACAAAGGCGAACTTATCCTTCCACCTAGGGACGTTTGTGGGAGTGTCCGAAATAAAGTGTACATCGGTGCGGCTTTTGAGGTAGAGCCCCTGGGTATGTTTTGAAGGGGCATAGCAATAATGGAAAAATCCAGATCGAGCCGACCAAACGTACATGGCATAGAATAATGAAGATGTTAATGAACCGGATAGCATTGGGCGGAAGCTGGTTCAGAGGCAGTTCGAACCACCGACAGATATCGATCAGATCTTGACACAAAGGAAAGCGGATACCTAACTTAAACTGAATCTCAAAAAATGTATAACAACCCTTGGGCGGACAGTCATATGTATCCTTGGGGCCAGGGGATACAAAAGCCTACCTAGCTGGGTAACCAACCTCGTTAGGGTCCAACCAGCCGGCGACGAGAGAGCGAGAAGGAGTCGGATCAGAAGAGAAAGTTTTGACTAGCCTTCTCTTCTTAGTAGGCTTAGGAGGATTAGAGCAGGTCGGCAATGAAGTAGCGTTGGGAGTTTTTAAGGGGGAGATGGAAGAAATATTTGGCTTAGGGTTACTCGAGGAGGCGATCTTAGAAAAAATGGAGTGTTGAGAGAGAGGGATATCATCTTCATCCCTCCCCACAGCCTCCTCAGCAGTGTCGAGGGCCGCCTCAGCGGCATCAGAAGCCCCGAAAACCGGCCGGCGGCGGTTGAGGGGAACGTGGTCGAGAGTGTCCTCGTCTGATTCATCAACCAGACGGGTAGATGGGCGAGGAGGAGAAGATGGGAGACAGTAAGAAGGGCGAAAAACATTGAGAGGAACGGGATTGTAGATGTCATCAACGGAATGAGAAGGTGAGTGAGGGATAGGCTGGCAAACAGGAAAGGATGACGCGCCAGTCTCATCTTCACCGGACTATGGCTCGGTGCGTTAGAATCACCGGAATCTGAAAAGTAGAACGAAAGAATGAGAGGAGGAGAAGAGGAGTTAGGGTTTTTGAAAGCAAAGAAGGAGGTTTTCTGCCATAGGCGAAATGAGATGAATTTGGGGAAAAAGAAGAAATAACAGGGAAAATCGAAAATTGACGAAATAAATATACGCAAGTATGAAATTAAAGCACAGAAGACTTACTCATGGTCGCAGTAGAGAAGTGATTGCCGAAAACTATTGGAGAAGACACCGGGTGCAGGAAGGAAGGAGAAATTTGCAGAGAAAAAATCAGAGGGCAAGGAAGTTCGAAATTGCAAGAGTGAGAAAAGCGGAAAAATGGCTAAGTACCGCATTTATATGAGTACAGATGAACAAGGCGAAGAGTTAGTGGATATGACCGTTGGATAAAAGAAGATCCAACGGTGGAAAACATTAAAGAGGCGCAGATAACGAAGCGACACAAATCGCGAGGAGGCACGATGATTAAAAGTACAGACTTGAGGAGACATGTGGCAGGCCGAAATTACGCTAATAATAAAAAGGAATAAAAGGCAGTCATAGCGTGCGTTAAAACGGGCCACGTGGTCGAGGAAAGGTAACGACATCAACAAAAGTGATCGAAAGAATAGGCAGAACGAAGAAAACAGCTCGAATCCACTCTTAGATCGAGTCATTCAGACTCGACCAGAGTGGGGGGGACTAGATGATATGGGATATTATACGACTAAGGAGCAGACCGGTCCATCGTGTCGGTCAGGCAAGCATAGGGAGGAAGAAAACCACGTTGGTTGAAGGATGATCGACCAGAATAGAAGAGATCGAGCAGAAGAGCATAGCTGGTCGAGGATCGACTTAGTAAGGGGGAGCTCGATCAGATCGAGCACGCAGCAGGGAGGAAGCAGTCGAGAGCGTGACCTGAACGCAAGTAAGCGCGTGGGTGATGCCAGGAGATCCCAACGGCCTGCGCAAGGGAATAATTCCCCTCAGCTCAGAGGGGGGCACGTGGCGAGAACGTATTGGTGCAGAGTGATAGTGGCAACAACTACCTCTGACACCCCTGACATTTCTGACAACACACACACTGTGTGTGTACTGACGGGCAGCGCGGGCAGGACAGCTCACCAATATCCAGGCAGCTCTAAGGGCAGGTATCTCACTCCTATATATAGGGAGTGGGTCTTTTCTTAGGGTTTACGATTTATCCATTCTTTACTTTAGAAAATTGAACAAACATATACTGACTTAAGCATCGGAGGCTCTTCACCGGAAAACCCCTCCGGTGTGAGAGTTCTGTGCAGGAACGCGGCGTTCTATCGGCGAGGAAGAAGGAAGCAAACCGATTTCAAGCCGGTCGGAGTGTTTTGCGTTACCAGACTTATTGGAAGAAAAAGTCGAGATTAGGAACTGACATTGATTCTTCAACAATGATGTGTTGCTGGGCCCGAGCTAGAAATTCCTGAAATGAACTCGGTTTGTTCTGATAAATACTCCAGCAAAACAGAGAATTCGGCTTTAATCCTGCTATCGCTGTGATGAGCAATGTTTCAAGATGACATTGCTCCATTTTGTACTCGTTCATTAAACCGAATAATATAATCTTTGACACTTTCATTATCCTTTTGCACAATATTGACAATTGACTCCTTTGGGATCAAAGATACTCGGGCCCAAATGAAATGTGATCTAAAAGCCGTTCTCAATTGTTGCCATTTCAAAATTGAACACCGAGATAAAGAGTGATACCACTTTTGAGCACGAGGTCTCAAAGTTAATGAGAACATCCGACATCTTAGTGCATCGGTTGCTCCGTGGAGGTCTATCCACGAGGTGTATTGACCGAGATGCGCATCTGGATCCGAGGTGCCATCATACAGACCAATTTGGGGAACCTTAATTTTTCCAGATAGTGGTTCCATCGTTAGGTGAGGAGCCAATAGAGTTTCGGCCCCCAGATAGACATTACCCGAGATGGGGGCCCTTCTTTGAGATTCTTCTGGATCCTCTCGTCGAGTTTCCAACTCGGCAATTCTTTTCCTTAATACTTCCAATTCCTCCGACTCGCGTCTCAAAAGGTTCCTTTCAATAGTATGACATAGTTCATCTTTCTCACGTCTGAACCGATTTCTTTCAATAGTATGACGCAGTCGGATTGTCGAACATGTTGCGAAGTCACCGGTGACGAAGACACCGGTTGTTGTTGACGACGCCCTTAATGACTTTCAGCAGTAATTTCAGGCTGAATACCCTCTGGAGGATTATTGTTAACAGGAACTTCACCATGACTTTGAGCAGCTATATTTTGTTGCGGCCCAAGAGTTCGCAGTTGTGATGTTGCATGAGAAGCAACAGTATTATTGTTCGGTTGTTGAACAGGCGGCGTCTGCTACCTTATTGGAGGATTTAGAACAGGAGTTTGACTAGGAACTAATATCGTTGGTCCTGCTCTTGTTTGTGCCATGAAGTTAGATAAATTTCTGAGAAACTCTGGATCTTGAAACAGAACAGAGTAATCTATCATCATGGACGGCGCAGTCATATCTTCAGTAGTATGAAAAGGATTACGACTGGTTCCAGCATCTGGATTTCTTTCTTGACGCCCAGACTTGTCATGTTGAGTGCTGTCGAGATTGTTTGGCGGGCACGTATTTTGTCTTTGTATAATTGATCGAAGATTAACCTCAAATTTCGTATGAGCCCTCTTCTAGCACCAAACTTTTGTTGTATAAAATTTAACAACTCAAATTAACAAACAACAAGGTGTATTTAAAAGGAAATAAACATAAATTTGTGTGTTATTGATCATTTCACAATAGTACAGGAAGTCGGCTTTTCTGTTCATAACCGAGATGTTTTATAGTCCATGTACAATGTGCCAGAAAGGATCCCCGTACAGTAATAAATTCTGCTATTTATAGTATGGTGATTTTGTCTTCTTGTTTGAGGTAGATTAGATCGCATTTAATGTTGAGCTGCTTCAATAAAGCGACATGTGATGGAATAAGGGAATATCAATGATTATTCTTTGAATTTTGTTGGTCCAATCACAAGCATACAGCGTCTCTTGCTTTAAAATTCGATCTTCTCAGACCTCGGTTTATTGGATAAACTTTAATATAAACGTCTGCGAAATCGTCTTTCTCTGTCTTTTAGTGTGAAGTCGGTTTTCTTTAGTTGTCCCAAAGTCGGTGATTTGTTCAGCTGTACTGACTTAAACTAAGTTGGCCGCTGAGAATAATTTCAATGGACCATTAATAAGGTAAGATGATCAATCTTTGATTAATTACGGGAAATCAAGTCGGTCATCAACAACATAAATGTACTAGTGAACTAATCAGTCAAGACCAACTGTACTGTTGACACTACAACCGTTCGTATTAGGTGTTCATTTCCATCTAAGGTGTGAACCATAATTCTTGTTTCGCAAGTAACTGATAGAATGATCTTTTGTTCGCCCGATGACGGCTCATTCTATCTAAGTGCAAAATAACAGAACATAGAACTTGTTTAATCTAACATGATTCTCATTCATAAATGGTAAAAGTGTAATATCATCCAAAGCCAAGCTTTCAGTATATAACACTAACAAAGCATTGGTGAGAAAAGTTCTAAGGGTTGCGTATTTTTGGCCAATAATGAGAACAATGGCAAATGAGCTCGTATAGAAGTGTATCAAATGTCAGCAACACGGACAAATTATCCATCGACCTGCAGAGGTGCTTGTCCCGATGAGCTCACCATTGCCTTTTGCTCAATAAGGGATGAATATTGTGGAACCTCTATCACGAGGTTCAGTTCAAAGGAGGTTTTGCATGCAGTGGTGGATTATTTTAGTAAATGGATAGAGGCCGAAGCAATGGCCAAGATCACGGAAGAAAAGGTCATCAAGTTTTTATTCACCAACATCTGTTGCAGATATGAAATTCCTTGAATAATAGTCTTAGACAATGGACCTCAATTCTGAGAAAAAAAGATATATGCTTGATGTATGGAGATGGATAGAATATAACCCAGAACAAAGAAAGCTTAATAGCCTAATTACCCAGTTGTAGTTTTTAGGGTGACCAAACGTAAACTTCTTCTGGAGCTTTTCAGGCAAGCCTATTTCGGCAAAGGAGGTGTTATTTCTTTTAAATGGGGATGCAGTGGAACACATGTTTATCGAGGCAATACGCCAGAAATAGCAGATAGCAAGATGGTGATGAATTGGTCTAAGCCTCTTATTTGTTCAGGGTAGGCGGCGTGAACTCTGATTTTGATCCGGGTATTCAATCCCGTCGCTAAGATGCTAAGTTGACTCCTTAACCTTGATAGGACTCTTAAACAGTATGCATCGTCTTTAATGACTGCATATGGAGGAGAGGAAAGCGGAGGATAGAATGCTTTGAAGGACTATGGCTCCATACTGGATAAGAAGTTTTTTTCAGAGAAAAATTCTAGTTTGAGAATGAAAGAATCTAACTATAGAGTTGAGCCGATAGACCATGTCGGGCTGCATGGGATGATTTGATGAGGTTAGTCCCTAACAAGGTGTTGTCGATGCGATTTAAAACATGCTCTACTCGGAAAGGCCACAACAGACAGGTCAGGAGGGCAGATATACAACCTAATGATCCATGGGCTAGAGATCAAGCAGTACTTTTCTTCGATGGCACATCCGTAAGCAAATAGTCAGACAGATGTGACGAATTGGACTATATTGATGGGTTTGCACGCTCGCTTGGACAAAACTTCAAGAGCTTGGGTGGACGAGCTAGATACAATGTTATATGTGTATAGGAACACACCAAGGGCGTCCACGGGGAACACTCTATTTAGCTTGGTGTACGGGATAGAAACAATTATTCCAGTAGAAATTAGTCTTAGCTCTCAGTGAGTATCTACTTTTGCGGCAGAACAGAAAGAAGAGCTAGCCCGAAAAAGCCCTCGAATTAATTGATGAGGCAAAAGAGCAAGAATGGTTAAGGACAACGTAGTACAAGAAAAAGATGTGCATAGCTCATGATAAGAAGGTAAACCGAAGATAATTGCAGATTGGAGACATGGTCTGGAAAAGAGCTGACATATTGAAACATAAGGGGAAATAGGCCCTAAGTGGGAATTGTTAGTGTTATGTACTGAAAGCTTGGGATTTGCATGTTATTACACATTTGCCCTTTATGGATGAGAATCGTGTTAGATTAAACAAGTTCTACATTTTGTTGTTCTGCACTTAGATGGAGTGGGTCGTCATCGGGCGAACCGAAGATCACTCTATCAGTTACTTGCGAACAAGAATAGTTGTTCACAATCTAGATTGACATGAACACCCCATCCGAACAGTTGTAGTGTCAACTGTACAGTTTGTCTTGATTGATTAGTTGCACTAGTACATTTATGTATTGAATAGGATCCCAGAGAGGAGAAGTTCATTTTATATTGATCGTCGTAAATGAACTAGGCCTCGGTTAATTACTGCGTTCTCTTAACCCGTAAGATATTAAACATGCAGATATATATAATATATATTACTTTGATTCACATGGGTGATGTTTAGTTCGCTGGATTAATATTCCTACTGTTTTGGGTGATATTAGATATTTACGGTTACCATGTGCGTTAGTTTGATGATGTCCCCGGAGTGAGTTCATGAAGGATTGTTATGCCAAGCTCTGCAGGTGGATTAAGTTCCAGCATAATAAGAATGTGATGAACGAGCGCTAGCTTCGGTTAAATAATAATAATAAATTAATTAATTCTTGATTGTTAGTAATCGAATTAATTAATAGACATTATATCTTAAACGTGTGGAGGTAAATCGAGTAATTATTATTGGAGTCTCAAATGTAATTTGGGCTAGGAAAAGGGAGTGCAATAATATAATGTTGGTGGCCCATTAATATTATTTAATTAATTAGAAGAGTGGGCTTGGCCTACAGTTAGTCTAATTAATTAAGGAGCCCTATTCCTAATCTCCTAAGAGTCCCTACTGTAGCTCTATATATACATCATTAAGCTCATGAGAAGAGGAGATAATTCCCATTCACACGCCTAAACCGCCGCCCCCTACTCTCTCTCTCTCTCTCTCTAGATCTCATTCGAGCTTTATCTTCTTCTTGTTGCTCCACTGGTACAAGTTGAAGAAGGGTGTATTGAGTAATACAGTAGAAGATCTGTAGGTAAACGGAGACGAAATATATTTTATCGCACAGAACTAACCGGAGGTCCGATTAAGGAACAAAGCATACCCAGACGACCATCTCGATGAGATCTTTCCATCGCCGTCGAGACCGCCGCCGTACGATGCTGCACGCGCCCTCACGTGCCGCCAGAAGGTGTCTGGCAGCAAGTTTCGTCTTCATCTATTTGCACCCGTTTGATCTGGTTTTCGATCCGATCTTGTTCGTGCAATCCCAAGACGTGATTTGCGGTCATCTGTTTGTTCCAACCAGATCTACATAAAATTTAAGCCGTAAGTTCTCTACGTCAAACCTTTAGATCCGATGCGCATAGGTTTACGTTTGCTATTGAATTCGTGACTTATACATAACGAGATCCTCATAGATCCCAACAAGAATGGCCGCACAGTGTCCAATGAGTACTAGCGGGCGGAGCATACGAGCGAAAATACTTAGAGGGAAAAGTCTTACTACTGCGAATCTCAAAAAGTAGTAGTGTTAAAGTTATTATGGTACAAATGATGTACGACCAGTTTAAGATTGGAAAAAATGATGTATGACCCATATGACATAGTACATAGTGTAGCTCGGGGTGAATCAGCCGCAACTACCTCTTTTGCAGGCTCCAAACTAGTTTGGTCAGTCGGCCTAAATGTATGAAGGCTCAGGTAGCTCAAATAGTTGGTGCATGTCTCTAGATCGGACTTACAGGATAGCTTGGACAACTTAGGTGTGGCTGCAGCTCGAACATACAGAAGCTCGGGCAAGCTTGTGTTTGTTGACTTTTCAGGCATAAGTCAGCTCGGACAATACAATTGGTAAGTAGCTCGGACATATGATAGCTCGAACAAAGTAACGGGTGAACATCTCGGACAAGAGATAATGGATCAACTTAGTAGGTGGAGTTCAAACTGTTAATAAGGAACACATGTGGGGTCATAAACAAAAATGGTAGATTATTCGACGAATAAGAATTGAGCCAAGTAACTGACTGACAGACCTACGGGTTACCAAGTGACTGACGGGTAACCCCTTGGGCAGTCTGGGCAACCGGGCAACGCAAAGCTTGTTCAATAAGCTAATAGTTCTCTATAAATATGTAAGATTTGAAACAAAAGTAAAGGAAAATCACACTTTATACTCTAAGCTTCACAGTGCATTTCTCATACAACTTTTCATAACTCTTTTACTGACTTTATCGTTGGAGGTTTAACGCCAATAACACCTCTCAACGTCTTTGCAGATTTCTAAGGAGCAATTTCGTCGAAGGGTCTGGGAGAGCCGATTCAAGGTGCAACTGCACATCAAAGGTGTTAGGCCCCAGCCCGCCACCTAGAACCTTATTTAACATTTTTTTTTTACTTTATTTTTCAATTATTTGAAAGTCCTTTTATCATATGATTCACTCCACATTATCACACGGAGGTAAATATTTTGACGTAGCTGACTGGCTTCTTACCAAGAGGCTTTGAAGCTTTTTTTTTTCCCCAAATCCCCTCAATTAAAAACCCTCGGTCACCGCTCTCTACGCGAGCCTCCTCTCCGGTAGCCTCCTGCTCTCTACAATGCCGCCCAAAATCTAATTTGTCTAGGTCTGTCGACGTAGATTCGATGGCTTTTCGGCCTCTCTCTCCGCGGCGTAGATTTCGACCACCTCAGGTTTGCCATGGAGGGATTTCGAGGGCTGGAAGGTCCGGTGGTTTTGGGGTGGCGGTTGCCGCTGGCGGTCTTTCGGCGGTCGGGGCGATGGATTGAACTTTGGATTCCCCTTATTCGGCCTTCTCTGTGTTAGGAAAGTCGTTTCCTCCGGAGGTGACAGTGGTGGTGCCGTGGTCCTGGTGTACGCGTGATTAGGGGGACGGGGGGGCTGTGGTGCAGTCTGGCTTGGTCAAGTCAGAGGTTTGCTGGGGGAGGTTGTGTTGTGCCGTGGGCTGTGCGACTTCTCCTCGATGGATCTTGTTAGGTTTGGTCGGATTGTGGAGGTGCTCGGTGTTCTTGACCGTATGGGAAGACTTTATTTTAGCTTAGTTTCTAGATTTTAGTGTGTGTATAGGTTGTGTGTTTATGTTGTTTTGTATTTGTGTTTCTGTTCTCCAGTGTGGGAGGCTGCGTTCTCCACTTGTGGGAATTTTTTTCTAGTGTTGCTAGTTGTTTAGTCTTGTTTAGAATTTTAGGCTACAGTCGCCGACTCGTAAGTCTCCCTTTACAGCCGTTGTTTGTTATTTTCGATTTGTTGGCCGCTTGTTGTTTTTGTGTTTTTTTAATACAAAATCTGACATTGGGAAACAAAAAGANGGAAAAAAAAAAAAAAAAAAAAAAAGACTGGATTCTACCATTTTGAGTTGGAGCGCCTACAAATAAAACCAAGCGAGGGCGAAGGGGATCTCAACCCTGACCAAACCCGATTTCGATCTCAAAAGGCCGACCCGTACATAGAGGCAGCATATAAAACGGACTTAATCATCCACATCCAACCCCTTCTACTTTCTCACTCCATTCGCTCTCTCAATACTCAGTCGTCTTTGTGGCTCTCTTTCTCTCTCTGTATCTACATCTCGTATCGCTATTCATCTCACATCCTTTTTCTTCGATCCAATCATCAACTGTAAGTTCCCTCGGCTCCAATCTTAATCCCTGTTTAGATCTCCCATTCTGTTTGCGGATTACCAAATCTATTTTTGTTTAATCGTCTTCAAAGAAAACCAATCAGGTCGTATTTTGTTGTTTTTAAGTTCAATTGATTGGTTAAATCGTTAAAAAAATTATTCAAGATTTATCAGTTGGTTGTATGATTGGAAAAGTGTAAGAACTTATATGTATAGGATAAANAGTATTGAGTGTATTGACTTTTGATTGATTGGTATTGTGATTTTTATTCAGATGTTAACCATGCGCTAGCTAAATTAAGATTCCATCTTTGTGGTCTTTGTCCAATTCTTTCACCTACTTCCAATTAACCTTTTGTCTTGTTTGTGTTGATCTGCTGCTGTTTATTGTGCTGGATGTGGAGGAACTCATAGTTTGTTATTGCCTTTTTTTTCTTCTAAGAAAATCAAATGAAATTTAGCTTCAATTCCTCTCTTCTGGGGCATGCAAACACAGTTCCCCTTTAATTGAAAAAAATAATGCATCTGTTTAAGTTGAAAGATTCTTGTTTTTCTTTTTCATTTTTTTTTTAAACTGGTGTGGTGCACTGAAGACAACCATGAGTGATGAAGGAGACAAGACTTGCCCCCTCTGTGCTGAGGAGATGGATTTAACTGATCAGCAGTTGAAGCCCTGCAAGTGCGGCTATGAGGTATCCCTCTATAAGTTCCTCCCTGTATCTTTTAATATATTTCTTCACCCACGTGGTGGAACCAGTATGCTAGCATGCGAGCTGTGTGCCTGAATATACTTGAATGCATGGTGCTATTCTTGCCTTTATTTTTCTTGGACTGCATTCGAAACTAGGACACATGAAATATAAATGCAGAATCTTTTAGAAGTCATGATAATTCAATCTTAATTTCCTGTTGATTAATTGAAGTCCATGTGACAGAAATTTGGTCTTTGAACCCTTGCTTCTCTGTACTGTACTCACATAATCAAGGTTTGGAATGCGTCCATGTCCTGAATAATGAAGGTGCACGAAATCCCTGATGTCGATAATTTCATTGAACCAAACCAGATGTAAATTTTAAAAATATTGAGCAATTAGTGAAGATATCTATCGACG